AATAAAAAAATCTTTGAAGACAAAAAAAGACGACCCTCATTAGGGGTCTGAGGGAAGGAATGGTTGACATGGAGGAGAAGGAAGTTCATGCTTTCAGTTTCAGAAATATATTTATAGACACATTTCCCCTATTAAACAAATTATGAGGGGATGGGGGGAAACAGAGAGAGCAACAGAGAGGGAAGCTGGCCTTGCTGACTGTGGAAGAAAAAGCTGATTACAGCAAAAAAAAAAAATGTATCCAATCTATTACTGCACATCATGTAATACTAGGCTAGGGACAAATTTTTGGCACAGTTGGCATTGCTTAGCTTTGTTTGCCTGTTTGTTGTTGCTTTTTGTTATTTTAAAAGAGTGGAGCTGTCAGAATGGATTTCTTGAGTGTGCAGCTAACTAACCCAAAGGAGATGTTATAGACCTTATCGCACAAAAGAGATTGTTCGATAGCATGTTTTTTCAAATGGAGTCTTGAAAAATCACTTTTTGAAGAAAGTTTGAAAATATCAATGGAAAAAACTGTGAGCACCAGATTTTCTCTGAAAACCAACTTGTCTAAAAAAGGAGACATGATTAGCATCTATTCTATATCAAACACATGAATAAGCTTCCCTCTTTATGAGTTTTAGCAGAACTTTGATCTTGAACCCCACCCTCTTTCCTCTCTTGGTCACTCTTTTTATTTTATTTTATTTTATTTATTTATTCATGAGAGATACACACGCACATACACAGAGAGAGAGAGGCAGAGACACAGGTAGAGGGAGAAGCAGGCTCCATGCAGGGAGCCTGACGTGGGACTTGATCCCAGGTCTCCAGGATCACATCCTGGGCTGAAGGCGGCGCTAAACTGCTGAGCCACCCGGGCTGCCCTCTCTTGGTCACTCTTAATAGTGGACTGATCAAGAGGCAAGAAGAAAAGTAAAGGTAAAGCACTTGGGATACATCTGGACCTGTACTTCTACCTCCATCAGCACAGCTGCAACAATATGCATTTTGAATTCAGCCAATAGTCATCTGTGGTTTGTTAACATCACCTCCCTCGCTTCCTTAGTGTACAATAGTGAGCTGACTATAGTGAAACACAGAGCCCCCCAGATTCTATGTAAATATAGGTCTGTCGATTAACACACCAGACCTTGTTCTAATATGTGACTAGAAGAAAAAAATACATCTGTGTTTACTATGTAATTTCAGTGGGATTCAGTAGATGGCATAAAAGAGCTTTTCTCTCCATCCCCCAACATTTAAATGCAGTTACCACTGAAATAAATGCTTGAGGAAGTACTTAAAATTTCCTACAGACTGCCAACGCGACAGACGGGCAGGTTGTGTTGGTAAGCAACATTTTTTTTTTAATTCTATAAAGAAAATAATGGTTTAACTAGTTAGTCTCAAAAGTCTCTATGACTAAGAGAAGTGGGTTAATTCTGATATATGCTTACCGAGTATGAACTAGAATTTGTTTATCAGCTTCTCATCCCATGTCAGTGAAAGGATTTTTTTTTGGTGTGTGTGTGTGTGTGTGTGTGTGTGTGTGTGTGTGTGTGTGTATTTGTTGGTTTTTCTCTGTGTGTATTTGTTTTTCTTTGGATGGCACCTCATCTCATGCATGGCTCGCTTTCAGGAGCTGTCTTTGAGTTGGGAGATGAATATTTGGGTCGCAAAATCTCAAGGTTTTCTACAGAGCTGCTAATACTGGTTTCAGGCACTGCTCTTCATCCCATCATTCCTATTTCTCCCTTTGCAGTGAGAGTGCTGAGGAAGAAGGGGGTGTAGGTAAATTACTTGTGGAGGCTGTAAATTACAACCCCTCTATTTTTTTTTTTTAAGATTTCATTTATTTATTTGTGAGAGACACAGGGGGCAGAGACATAGGCAGAAGGTGAGGGAGAAGCAGGCTTCCTGAGGAAAGCCTGATCCCAGGGGATCGGGGACTCTATCCCAGGACCCCTGGATCATGCCCTGGGCTGAAGGCTCAACCACTGAGCCACCCAGGCATCCCAACCCCTCTGTTTTTATGGGCAGGTTTATTTTAATTTTTTTTCTCTGTGCTGTTCCCACTAGATATTCTTTTCTATTTTCTCAAGCCACTGAAACTATTCTGAGTGCTACTAGTCAGGTGGAATTGTAGATTTTGAAAATGTTTCCCAGGCTACACCCAATTTGATCAAAAGAATTGAAAGTAAATACATCTTTACAATAAAAAGCAAAAGTTTACAGATCCACATGGAAAATAAAACCAAAATGCTCTTGAACTGGTTCCTATCCTTTTAAACTAATAGCTAGTTGGCCTTGTGTAGGGAAGGTTCTCAATTACTATTTGTGCTACAGAACTTAATAGGCCAGGTTGATGTATGGATTTTATCCATGAAGTCAAGTCAAAGTCCTGATTTAATTACTCTAAAGACAACTCAAATGTATTGATGTATTATATCATATAAAGTGAGGCCAAATCATAATCATTAAAATTGACACAAACACATCTAGAGACACTTTCATTTTTTAATTAAAAATTCCTTTTACTGATCAAGTTAGCAAATAATCATCTTATTTGGTAGTAAAATAGTTTGAAGATTCAGTGCTGGCCATCAGGACTTTGCTTAAAAATTTTTTTGATTTTTGCTGATTTAGCAAGTTTGGTAAATGAAATATAAATGTCCTGTAAGTACCTAAAAATCAGTCTCTCTTGTTTCCAATACTTTGACTTCTTAATCACAGAAATAAAAGTGGTTTTATTAACTGAGCACTTTAAACTGATGATTATAAAGGCAAGGAAGGACAAAATGGAGGCTGGAAAAATAGAGGATATTTAAGTCAATTAATTTAGCGAGACATAAAACTGAAGCCATGCTCTCATTAAATGCTGGAGATAGGCAGTTTTATAAATTTATATCCCTTGTGGTAGTTGCTGTTTCTAAGAAAACAAGGACAACTTTTTAAATTTGTTTGTGGTGGGTTCACTGTGTGCAAAGCACTCACATCTGTACATGGAGCCCTGTCTCTGCTCCTTGTCTCTCCTGTCACTTGTGTACCATGCTTGATCATGCTGACCACTGCTACCTTGACCTCTGGAGTTGGCCAGAAGTTAGAAAGATCCCCAGATTTGGATTCAGGCTAAGGAACAAGTTAAGGAATTCCACTTGAATCTTTTTTTATTTTATTTTATTTTATTTTATTTTTTTAACTTTTTTAAAAATTTTTTAAATTTCTTTATTTATGATAGTCACAGAGAGAGAGAGAGAGAGAGGCAGAGACACAGGCAGAGGGAGAAGCAGGCTCCATGCACCGGGAGCCCGACACGGGATTCGATCCCGGGTCTCCAGGATCGCGCCCCGAGCCAAAGGCAGGCACCAAACCACTGCGCCACCCAGGGATCCCCCCCCCTTTTTTTTAATGTTTTATTTATTTATTCAGAGAGAGAGAGAGAGAGGCAGAATCACACGCAGAGGGAGAAGCAGGCTCTATGCAGGGAGCTGGACATGGGACTCGATCCTGGGTCCCCAGGATCACACCCTGGGCCACAGGCGGCACTAAACCACTGCACCACCGGGCCACCGGGGCTGCCCCCACTTGAATCTTAAACCCAGGATCCTTTTACTTTGACCTGGCTTTTACTAGGGGGTTCTGTTTTGAGAGATTAGGCACTGACCCAGATAGTAATTGGGTATAATTTTGATTCTCACTAAACAATTTTTACTTGTATGAGTAACTCTTTCAGGAAGCTGGAGAGGAAAAATTGGGAAATTTCTGGATCTTTCAGCCAAATACAATCAATGCCATAAAAATGCCACCTTTAATTTTTTTTTAATTTAAACATTCTTTTAGTTGACATACAATGTTATATTAATTTCAGATATACGATCTAGTGATTCGGCAATTCTATACAATAAGCTGTGTTCACAATAAGTATAGTTACCATCTGTCACCATATAATGCTATACTATTAGTGACTGTAGTTCTAATGCTATACTTTTCATCCCAGTGACTTATTTATTTTATAACTGGAATTTGGTCTCTCTTATTCCCCTTCAGCTATTTTGCCCATCCTCCTATCCCCTTCCCTTTGGCAACTACCAGTTTTCATTCTGTATTTATGATTGTTTTTGTTTTTTTCTTTGTTTTGTTTTTAGATTCACAGTAAGTGAAATCATATGGTATTTGTTTTTTTCTCACTTATTTTAATTAGCATAATATCCTTTAGGTTCATCCATGTTGTTGCAAATGGCAAGATCTCCTTCTGTTTAATGGCTGAGTAATATTCCATTGTATGTATATTTTATTCCATGTGTGTGTGTGTGCGTGTGTTTGTTTATGTGTGTGTGTGTGTATCTTCTTTATCCATTCATCTATCACTGGACACTTAAGTTGCTTCTATATCTTGGCAATTATAAATAATGCTGCAATAAATAAAGGGCTTTGTTTATTGTTTTGGAATAGTATTTTCATTTCCTTTGGATAAATACCCAATAGTGGATTACTTGATCATTTGGTATTTCTTCCTTTTTTAAAAAATATCTTTTTTATTTATTTGAGGGAGAGGGAGAGAAAAAGAGCACGAGCAGGGGAAGGGGCAGAGGGAGAAGCAGACTCCCCACTGAGCATGGAACCCATTGTGGGGCTTGATCCCAGGACGCTGAGATCATGACCTGAACCAAAGTCAGACACTTAACTGACTGAGCCACCCAGGCGTTCCTTGATCATATGGTATTTCTATCTTTAATTCTTTGAGAAACCTCCATACTGTTTTCCACAGTGGCTGCACCAATGTGCATTCCCATCAACAATGCACAAAGGCTATCTTTTCTCCACATCTTCGCCAACACTTCTTATTTCTTGTCTTTCTGGTATTAGCCATTCTGACATGTGGAAAGTGATATCTCATGGTTTTGATTTGTAGTTCCCTGATGGTTAGTGATGTTAAGCGTCTTTTTGTGTGTCTTTTGGGTGCCACCTTTCCTTTTAATATGCATTTTAATGGCTGGGTTCCTTTCTTTACACAGAGTTTATATGAATGGTGATGAAAGGGGTATATTGGGCCCTCTTACATGTTTAAAGAAATCAAGATAACCAAGGCATCATTTGGATACCTCTACAAAAAGGTAAGTCCAAACAGTGCTCCAAATACTAGATAAGTTTGCATGTGTACCTTAAGGAAGTTTTATGACTTAGGGTTTTTTTCTGGGACTTTTATTATTTAGGTCTTTTTGTGTCCATTGAGAGGTGTGAAGAGATATGTAAAGAATTTGACTCTTTGCTGATACAGATGGCTTGCCTGTCTAATTCAGCTCCAAAAGATTGAATAAGTTCCCTGAAAGATCTGAGTAGCTATGTAGCCCCAGATGAAAGGGTGTCAGGGGTAGGGGTATGCAGGTCATACTCTAGGGTTCATCCAACTCCCTCCGGTCTCCTATGTCATTGGAATCTTGGTAACAAAATAGTGTCTGGGCTATAGTGGGTTGATAACTAAAGCAATAAGCATAATCTAGTACTTCATAGGGAATAAATACATATTTGATGAATGAACAAAATCTTTCTGAAGAAGAGGAAACTACTCCTATCCTTGAAACCTTTCAGTGCTCACCACTCCCTCATGACTTTCAGGCTAGAATCCCAACTTCTTGTAATGATCTGCACCTTGTACAATATTGACTCTACTACCTTTCATCCTCACTCACTCTATACTAACATTGACCACCTTACTATTCCTCAGATAAACCAACCTCAGTCCCATCTCAGGACCTTTGCACTTGCCTTTTTCTTTGTCAGAAATGCTTTCCCCCAGATCTTCCCATAGATTACTCATTCACTCCATTCTGGTTTACACTATAATGGCATCTTCTCAGAAAAGTCCTCTCTGACCTAATCTTAAAAAGTCATTAGCCACTGTTACATACCTACCATTATTTTTGATTCATTTACTCTGCTTAATTTTTTTTTTTTTTCTTTTGAGGGAGAAAGAGAGATAGCATGTGCAAGTAGAGGTTGGGTGCAGATGGAGAGGAGAGAGAGAACCTTAAGTAGGCTCACTTTCCACACAGGACCTGACAGGTGGCTTGATCCCACAACTATGAGATCATGACCTGAGTCAAAACCAAAAGCTGGGGATCCCTGGGTGGCGCAGCAGTTTGGCGCCTGCCTTTGGCACAGGGCACGATCCTGGAGACCCGGGATCGAATCCCACGTCGGGTTCCCGGTGCATGGAGCCTGCTTCTCCCTCTGCCTATGTCTCTGCCTCTCTCTCTCATTCTGTGTGACTATCATAAATAAATAAAAATTTAAAAAAAAAAAGATTTCATTCTAAAAAAAAAAAAAGCTGGGTGCTCAACTGACTGAACCACCCGACTCTGCTTAATTTTTCTGTATAACATTTAATACTACATGAAATTACATTTAGTCATGTATTTTCTGTCTTACCAATAGATAATAAGCTCTTTGAGAGTTGGGATTTTATTTTGTTCACTGCTTTATCTCTAGTTCCTAAAACATGGCCAGTAGGTTATCAATAAATAGTGGTTGAATAGATAAATGGATAAGTAAATGGATTTTCTGAGACACCTTTTATCATGATCTAATTACCTTTTGAGTAAGATCAAGGTTAGGCAGGAAATCATGTGTAGGTAATAGAAAGTAAAGCAAGAAGAGTCCAAATTCATTCCCCATGGAAAAAGAACCTTAAGAAAGCCATGAGGTGATATATGTCAAAGGTAGAAAATACACCAGCTGTGAATTCTAGTTTGAGTTCTATATGATCTTTGGAGGGTTGAGGTTAGTGGGCTTTCCATAAATATGTAAAACTATCTGTATTAGTTTCCTGTGGCTGCTGTAGCAAGTTACCATAAACTCGGTAGCTAAAAACAACAAAAATTTATTCTCTCATGGTCTGGAGACCAGAAGTCTAAAATCAAGGTGTTGGTAGCACTAAACTTTCCTGAAAACCTCTTCCAGCTTCCAGTAACTATCAGTACTCCGTGGTTTGTGGCTATATCCACCTCAATCTCTGCCTCCGTCTTCAGATGGCCTTCTCTGTGTCTCTGTTGTCTCCATCAAATATCCCTCTGTCTTTTTCTTATAAAAACACGTATCACTGGATTTAAAGACCACTTGGATAATCCAAGATGATCCCCTTACCTAAAGATCCTTAACTTAATGATCTCTACAAAGACCCTTTTTTGGAATTAGGTAATGTTCACAGTTTCTGGTGATTAGGATAGGGTTAGAAGGTTGGATATATCTTTTGGATGAAGTCACTATTCAACCTGTTACACCTTCCATATTAAAAGTTATTTAATTAGATGTAGTATAATTGTCTACAATGTATATATTTCCCTCGTTTCAGGTTATGTGACTCTAAAGAACACAGTCTTTATTTTATAAATCTCTAGGAAAAAATGTTTAATATCAGCCATGCCTAGTTTAATAATATCATTTAAAGTGGTTTTCTTTTATTTCTTTTTTTAAGGATCTTTACCCGAATTGCGATATTCTGAGGAACAGCAACTACACTTAGGGATGTCTAGTGTTACAAAATGATGAAAACTAATTCTAGCATCTTCCAATTTGCCATCATCTTCATATTAATACTTGAGATCAGAATACAATTGTCTGAAGAAAGTGACTTTCTAGTTAACAGATCAAAAACAGGTCTCTTTCACATTCCCAAAGACCTATCCCTGAAAACAACAATCTTAGATATATCACAAAACTATATATCTGAGCTTCAGACTTCTGACATCCTATCACTATCAAAGCTGAGGATTTTGATTGTTTCTCATAATAGAATTCAATATCTTGATATCAGTGTTTTCAAATTCAACCAGGAATTGGAATACTTGGATCTGTCCCACAATGAGTTGGGGAGGATTTCTTGCCATCCTACGGTGAACCTCAAGCACTTAGACCTTTCATTTAATGCATTTGATGATCTACCCATATGCAAAGAGTTTGGCAACATGTCTCAACTAGAGTTTCTGGGGTTGAGTGCCACACAGTTACAGAAATCTAGCATGCTACCAATTGCTCCTTTGCATATCAGAAAGGTTTTACTGGTCTTAGGAGACACTTATGGGAAAAAAGAAGACCCTGAGAGCCTTCAAAAGCTTAACACAGAAAGTCTTCACATTGTTTTCCCTACAAGAAAGGAATTCAGTTTTACTCTGGATGTATCAGTCAGCACTGCAGTAAGTCTCGAATTGTCTAATATCAAATGTGTGCCAGATGGTAATGGATGGTCTTATTTCCAAAATGTTCTGTCAAAACTGCAAAAGAATTCAAGGTTATCAAGTCTTACTTTAAACAACATTGAAACAACTTGGAATTTTTTCATTATGCTCCTTCAGTTGGTTTGGCATACAAGCATAGAGTATTTCTCAATTTCAGGTGTAAAACTACAAGGTTACCTTGACTTAAGAGATTTTGATTATTCTGACACTTCACTGAAGGCCTTATCTATACACCAAGTCGTTAGTAATGCATTCAGTTTGCCACAAAGTTATATCTATAAAATCTTTTCAAATATGAACATCCAAAATTTCACAGTGTCTGGTACGCACATGGTCCACATGGTTTGCCCATCTCAAATTAGTCCATTTCTGCATTTGGATTTTTCTAATAATCTCTTAACAGACATTGTTTTTAAAAATTGTAGAAACTTGATTAAACTGGAGACACTTAGTTTACAAATGAATCAATTAAAAGAACTTGCAAGTATAGCTCAAATGACCAACGAGATGAAGTCTCTACAACAATTGGATATTAGCCAGAATTCTCTAAGGTATGATGAAAATGAAGGAAACTGCTCTTGGACTAGAAGTTTATTAAGTTTAAATATGTCTTCAAATATACTTACTGACTCTGTTTTCAGATGTTTACCTCCCAAGGTCAAGGTACTTGATCTTCACGATAACAGAATAAGGAGCATTCCTAACCCAATCATGAAGCTAGAAGATTTGCAAGAACTCAATGTTGCTTCCAATTCTTTAGCCCACTTTCCTGACTGTGGTACTTTTAATAGGCTTTCTGTACTGATCATTGACTCTAATTCAATTTCCAATCCATCAGCTGATTTCCTCCAGAGCTGCCATAACATTAGGTCCATAAGCGCAGGGAATAATCCTTTCCAATGTACATGTGAGCTGAGAGAATTTGTCCAAAGTCTAGGCCAGGTAGCAAGCAAAGTAGTAGAGGGTTGGCCTGATTCTTATAAGTGTGACTATCCAGAAAACTATAAGGGAACCCTACTGAAGGACTTTCACGTGTCTCAGTTATCCTGCAACACAACTCTGCTGCTTGTCACCATTGGGGTCGCTGTGCTGATCTTCACTGTTACTGTGACTGCCCTCTGCATCTACTTTGATCTGCCCTGGTATCTTAGGATGGTGTTTCAGTGGACCCAGACCCGGCGCAGGGCAAGAAACACACCCTTAGAAGAACTCCAAAGAAACATCCAGTTTCATGCTTTTATTTCATATAGCGGGCATGATTCTGCCTGGGTGAAGAGTGAATTACTACCAAACCTAGAAAAAGAAGAACTAAGGATTTGTCTCCATGAGAGAAACTTTATTCCTGGCAAGAGCATTGTGGAAAATATCATAAACTGCATTGAGAAAAGTTACAAGTCCATCTTTGTTTTGTCTCCCAACTTTGTTCAGAGTGAATGGTGCCATTATGAACTGTACTTTGCCCACCACAATCTCTTTCATGAAGGATCTAATAACTTAATCTTGATCTTGCTGGAACCTATTCCACAGTATTCCATTCCTAGCAGCTATCACAAGCTCAAAAATCTCATGGCACGAAGGACTTATTTGGAATGGCCCAAGGAGAAGAGCAAACATGGACTTTTTTGGGCTAACCTAAGAGCGTCTATTAATATTAAATTGAGGGAGCAAGCAAAAAAAATAGATCACACATAGGTCTAAAAATATTCTCTTGCTGCTTTTGGAAAAAATCTTTCTGTTTTTGGAAGCTCTATTGTAATTGATTATTTTGTATCAGCACAAATATAAATGCAATTTTGAATCTATGATGTAGATAAAAATGCATACTTTCAGGCTCTCCAGTTCACCATTTATATGTGGTAATAAAAATTAATGAAATGATATAACTCGGATTTAAATAGTTAATTTCTAACACATGAGAATTTTTGTAGGGAGGGTGGGCCTAGGGCTGAATTCATTGAATTTTTCATGTAATCAAGAGAAGAACCTGTTAAACAACTTCAGTTCCTATAGCAGATATCTATAGCTATTGGTGCCCTTCTCGTTTCTACTCAGCATTTGTTTCTGCATGTTGAAGGCCACCTATTGCTAATGTTGCAGACTGTGCCTGGAGGGTTTTCTCCGGGCCGTGAGAATTTACACGGCTCACACAAAGGGCAACTTAAAAGTGCTGGATAATTTTTTTTTTTTTTTTTTAGATTTTTTTATTTGAGAGAGAGAGAGAGAGTATGAACAGGAGGGGCAGAGGGAGAGAGAAACTCAGATTCTATGCTGAGTGAAGAGCCCAACTTGGGGCTTGATCTCATGACTATGAGATCACAACCTGAGCCTAAATCAAGAGTTGGATGCTAAACTGACTGCACCACCCAGCTGCCCCAAAAAGTGTTAGAGATTTTTCTTGGAAGGAGCTCTCAACAAATATCAGGAAGAGAATTGGTTGATAAATGACCCAAATTTCTCAGTCATTTTGGAGATAAATCTGGAGTGTGCTTTACATTATCCCTGAGTTGCCCAGTAGAATGGATTTTAATTCTCTATGGTGGAAACAGCTTGGTAAATATTTTTTTTATTGGCTTCCTTTCTATCCTTATCTTCTACCTTCATTCTTCTAAGGGTGTCTCCTGGGATCACTTCTGCAATAAACTACTTGTAGTTGAATAGTTATCTCAGGGTCTGTATCTGGGGGACCCCAAACCAAGAGTGAGTTAAATCTCAGGCCAAATGAAAATTCTGAGTCTGGAAATCTTGTTGAAATTCTAGTTGCCTGATCCAGCATGCATGAGAGACTTTGCTCTTTTTGTTTTTTTAAGATTTTTATTTATTTATTTGTGAGAGACACGGGGTGGGGAGGGGGGAGAGAAGGAAAGAGAGAGAGAAAGAGAGAGAGAGAGAGAGAGAGAGAGAGAGAGAGAGGCAGACACAGGCAGAGGGAGAAGCAGGCTCCCTGCAAGGAGCCTGACTTGGGACTGGATTTCAGGTCTCCAGGATCACACCCTGGGCTGAAGGCGGCGCTAAACCGCTGAGCCACCCAGGCTGCCCGACTTTGCTCTTTTGATCAGAAGGAAGAATATAGTTCACTGTGTACTGTTTCTACACATAGTATTCTTGTCTTTGGGAACTATTCAACATGACTAGGGCACGAGCAGGGCACAAGCAGTTTGGAATAGTGTAAGGAATGGGCTATATTATTTTTTCCTAGTGTTATTTTATCAGATTTTTAAAATAATCCTCATTCATTCAGTTTATCCTTTTAGTCTAACTGCCAGCTCTGGAAAGATGCCATTAGATAGCTTCTCGTCATAGCTGCACCATGTATGTCTCACTTTATGCCCTGTGGCTTCATTAATACCACTTCACATCATGTTCATAGAAGCCTGTTCAACCATTTTGGTATATGCACAAACCTGGAATTGCCAGAGATAACCCCTAAGGAGATCCTTGACCACTTAAGGGAAGGGATCCATCAGATAAATATTGCTCTTTTTTAATTCTTGGGTTAACAAATGAGTTATGTTCTATATCATTCCTCAATGAATCCCCAGTAAGACTTAGCTTTATTCACACTCTCAGATTGGCTTTTCTTTCTTCCTCATTCATTCTTCCTAGTCCCCTTGCTCTTGACCCCTGAGATAACTTCTCCAAACAAACAACCTGCACACAAAGATTTTGTCTCAGGTTCCACTTTTGGAAGAGGAAATAACGTTTTACATGTATTAGTTGCTTCTTGCCCTAAGAAACTTAAAGTCAATCAGAGGATATTACATGAATCCAGGTAACTAAAATAAAAATCAATGAAATAAAAATATGCAATGGAAGTTCAGAACCATCTAGACTGAATGAAAAATAGTCTTAGAAGTGTTGGGTTTTCTACTGGGCACAGAAGGAAAATTTTAACTTTGGATTTTTCAGTGTGTGATGATGAGGAATGGAAAGGCCATTCTAAGCAGAGAAATGAAGAGAACAAAGACAGGAATATCCAGGCCTATTTTCGTATTGGTGTCCCATTTTGACTGAGCCATGTAATTTATGAAAAATGACAGTGAGATATAAGAATGAAAGTTAGATTAAGATCATATTGTCAGGGATCTGGAAAAGTTAAGCTATGTAATTAGAATTTAGGGCTATAGATAAATCATCATTTAAACTTTTATGAGGTATTATAGTGGAGAGGAAATTAAAACCATGAAATATATGCTAAAAAAATATAAAAGTTTTGTTTTGGGGCTCCTGGGTGGCTCAGTCAGTTGAGCATCCAACTCTTGATTTTGGCTCATGTCATGATCTCAGGGTCATGAGACTGAGCTCTGCATCAGACTTAGTGTGGAATCTGCTTGAGATTCTTTCTCCCTCTCTCTCTCTGCCCCTCCTGCTTCTCACATCTAAATGCATGAATGAATGAATGAATAAATAAATAAATAAATGCAATCTCTTTTTAAAAGTTCTTGTTCTGTAAATGAACAGTAGTTGTTAGGACTGGATTTTCCTGTTTTCTCTAGGATGATTGTACTTCTTATACTGAATTTCAAGATTTCATAACCAGGCTTCAATGTTCAGCACTAATTGTGTATTAGTTTGCTAGGGTTAATGTAAAAAAGTACTACAAACTGAGTGGCCTAACCACCAGAAATGTATTGGCTCATAGTTCTGGAGGCTTAAAGTCCAATATTAAGGTGTTGGAAGGGTTGGTGCCTTTTAAAGGGTAGGAAGGAAGGATCTGTTTTAGGCCTCTTCTCCTTGGCTTATAGATGATCACTTATTTGTCTCTGTACATTGTCTTCCCTCTATGCCTGTCTGTGTCCAAATCCAACCACCCCCCTTTTAAAAGATTTTTTTTTAATTATCTCTACACCCAATGTGGGGCTCAAACTTACAACCCCAAGATCAAGAGTTGCATCCTCTACTGACTGAGCCAGCCAGGTGATCCAAATTTCCCTTGTTTTAAATAAGGATGCCAATAATATTGGATTAGGGGTCATCCTAGTGACCTCATCTTAACTAATAATATCTACAACAACCTTACATCCAAATACAGTCACATTTTGAGGTATGGAGTGAGAGGGGTGGTTTAGGATTTCAACAAATGAATTTTGGGGAACACAATTCAATCCATTGCATCTTGCAAGTCTAAAAAAATCCTTAAAGGGAGTAATAGAGTCAGTTAAAGTTTATCCCTGAATCTCATAAAAGTTTTTAAGGGGGCTACTAGAAGGTTGAAATTCTACTAGTAGAATCCAAAGAATTCCAAGTGGAAGATGAAGAATTCAGGTCAAAGTATGGACAAATATATAGTAATGAAAATAAAAAAAGATTTCACAGGTAAATGAGAAGAAATATTGCAGAATGGGTAAATATGCAAGCTCTGATTCAGAACATCTGGGTTTCAATTCTAGCTCCATTACTTCCATTGCTTACTTACAAATGACCTTGAAGAATTTACTCAAATTTCTAGGCCTAAATTCCATTATTTGTAAAACGTACCCTTAGAGTACCTGTAGCCAAGAACTTTAGGTCTCCAGGAATGAATTAAAGACTGGTTACAATATGTCCTCCCAAATGCAGAGTTCACATGGTGAGGTTTCCAAATGGTTCTGCTGAAGCCCTTTTTCCTAGGATTTAGGTAAGAGGGAACACATCTGACCCTTCCATCTTGAGGGTAAATGGAAATCATAATATACCGAAAACTCTCCAAAATCCTCTTCTAATCTTTAACTCCTCTCAGACTCTCTAACCTCACTTATTGGCTGGAAGTCAGCAAATGGTTGCAAAACCAGTTATCTAGTCTCACACTTCACTCCAGAGACCTTAATCAAATAGAGATTAAAACAGTCACATTAAAAAAAATTTTTTTAAAAAGTCTCATTTTTATCAGCCTGTTATACTAGTAAGACTGCAGTGAAATGGGCATTTTAATAGTGATAACAGAAGGTCAGAGTAATTTGGCAGTATATACCAAGGGCTTTAAAATAATAATATTCTTTGACTATAATTCTACTTCCAGAAATCCAGCCTGAGAAAATAAGTTGAAATACGGACAAATATTTCTTACAAGTATGTTAGCTGCACAGTCATTGTTAACAGTGAAAAATTTGAAGCATTCCAAATTTCCAATAATGGAGGAATGTGCTGTGCTTGTTTAATAAAATATTTTGTAATAATAATCATTAAAAATAGTGAATAGGATTAAGATAATAAATTTTGTGTTATGTGTTTTTTATCACAATCTTTAAAAAAAGTACAGGAAGTCTTTTTTATTAACATAAGAGAATGCTTGTATTACAATATAGATGAAAAACATAGGATGCAAAAGTTTATGTACAAGGTGGTTTCATATGTTAAAACTATGCAGAATAAAAGTCTAGATGAAAATATACAAAAAGATTACCACTGCTTTGCCCGTGGCTAGTGCTAGCTTTTGCTTTTATACGACTCTGTACTTAAAAAATTTACAACCAACAAAAGGAAATGATATCAAAACTAAGTTTTCATCAGCTCCTGGTGAGAAGGCAAGCAAACACCCTGGGGGCAGACAGTGTGGAAACAGTAATCTGAAAAATGCCTGGGGCACACAAAGAGGAGGTTATTGGCTATTCTAAGAGTGCTTCCCTGAAAGGCAGCATTGGGTGAGCACCTCTTGGAGAATAAAGGAGCTGACTGGCGTCATTCCCCATCCCCTATTCTGCACCCCTCCTCCCTCCACCCCCCAACATAAGGACAGAGCCACCCGGGGGGAAGCAGCTTAGAGAAGACACTGGCTGTTTGCTTACAACAAGCCCCACTCTCCTGTGCTCTGGTGGTACTAACCTTCTCAGTCCCAGTGCACTGGCCTCTCTCCAGAAAACCAGCACAAACCTTTCCCCCAC